TAGCAACTTAGCATTTGCATACACGGCAAGTCTCAAAATGTAAGAGCCATTTCAGTGGTGGCGCCATCTAGTGGCGTCTCTCGCTACCAAATTTGGACACGCTTGAGTTAATTTAATTTTAGCTCTCGTCGGATGCCAGATATTGCCGTGAGTTAATTTTGCCTAGAGTACCAGACAGAAATTGATACTCTAGGGATCTTGTCACATAATCATATGACATGCGTGCCTACGATTTTCGCATCCAGAAAATATATCGACTCCAACCGGGGACGAACCCGCAACCTCAGGCTTGCGACTCGGGCACCATAAGCCACAGAGCCAACTCCTGCAGAATAGTAGGACATACCACACGTAAAACATAAAGGGACAACAAAATTCTCTCATAGAATTATAAACATTAAGGTCTTACTTTCATTCTAAATACAAGAACCCAGGGTTCTCTTCGATCAAATACGAATGACGTGTCCACGTTACTATGCACAACCATCTTGCTCTATTTTCAAAACACCTTTTTTTTACCCTCCCCTAACCAACGCTTATCTTTTTCTTCCTTCACACATTGTGCTTCTATATATAACAAGTGAATAATTTAAAATTCTTTAAATGATGCACACTTGGGGTTATTAGCGTATTAGAAGTTCTTTGGCACAACTATGCGACCGTGGTAGTCATGACCGCGAACTGGTGAAAAGACATTGGGTCTGGCCTTGTTTCTGTCGGGTCGAGTCCTTGTGCCTCTAAAGGCACACTGTATAGTGTGATTGGGACACTTTAAATCTCTGACAAGATTTAACGTTGGTGTGGTTGGAAAATTTGGGATGAGTTGTGCCAAATCAGATGTATTTCTCAGTTGTTATTTTGTCATGTGTTTTATCCTGGAATACATATGAAAGACGAGAAATGGAAGAACAGAAAGATACAATACAAACACAGAAGAATATAGACTTTTTATTACAAACGATGATCCCAGCATAGAACAGAAGGGGTGTGCTGCGTTCCATTCGAGAAGGAAATCCATGTTAGGCCAAAAAGTCCAACTTCTTTTCCCGAAGATACGTCCATGTCTTATGTGGGATTCGAACCCGAGCCCATTCGGTTAAAAGCCGAGGGTCATATCTACCATACAGGCTGAGCAGCGTTATCCTCACTGTGACGTTAAAAAACAATCTCATGTTTCTTAATTTCTTTGGCTAAATATGTCATAGTGCAAATAAAATCATATAAGTATAGTAATAATATATAATTATATATAATCATATAGTAATTGAATACCAGCGTATATTTTAAGCAATTGCAATGCTGAGCAATTAGATAGTTTGTCAATTCCTGCAAATAAATTGTTTTTTTATTTATTTTTTTTTCAAAAAGTGCAAGTACCAATAATACAATCTGTATAGTTTAAAACAACATCAGACAGTTCAAAGTACCATAAAATCTGGCGTATAACGCGTACCTATACTTTCAAGCTACATGTTTCAATTTTTAAGTACATTCGCCGCATAACGCGTCCTCCCTTTTTTATGAAGGAACTTGAAATGTATATGTGAAATGATCTTACATTTTGAAGTCATTTATTCTAGGTATTATCCCAGACTCTTTTGAAAAACATAGTATACTTTAAGAACTACAACCCTTTAAGTTCATTAGGTATGTCATTTCTTTTAAATAAACGGTATTCCGATCTATGTAGGTCTAATTATTATTATTATTTTTTTTTGCCCTTCTCTTTTTCTACTTTTGAAGCTATCATTTTTATAATCGGTACATAACGCGCAACCGTTAATTTCGATCATATTTTTTGTGTTCTAAGTGCCGGATTTTACGGTACATCAAAAAACTCAGTCACTTTATTCTTTGCGAAAAATATTGTTGAGATTCCCTTTAGTGTAAAATAAAAGCATTTATAAAACGTTAAAGAAAAAATATTTAAGGAAAGATCAACTCATCGACAATTTTAACATTTTCTTCGAGGAAAGAGCTGACAACTAAATCAACATCAGAAAAAATCGAAAGCGGTATTCCCAGAAAAGTAGGTAATCTAATTTACAGTATTAGGTTTGACAGGAACACATTCGACTCTTTTTCGGAAGTGGTTCATATTAGTGTACATTTATCTCTTCCAATATTTTCACTTCAGACGAAACAAAATTACTGTTACTTGTGTCATAACAAGATAGATATTTTCCTTGTATTGGATTACCTTAACAATACGCGCGCGAAGTAAATATATCAAACTTTATGTATACTTTTTTTCTTTAAATAAACCTTGAAATATCTTTCTTCAGAATGGCAAATTAGTAACAATTGAATGTTAGGTACTTTTCCGTTATAATCATACAACTTGGTGCTTTTTCGCGTCTTGGGGATCAATGTATCGCCATTTGGCTCGCTTCTTTTCAGGCTGTAGAAGTAGTTGTACGAAAACCTACCGTTGCAGAAAAACCCAGTCAAAACGCACTTCAGAAATAAGTAGCGCGATCAGATAGTTGAATAATCAAGTGCTTTCTTATATATATTATCATTTTATATAAAATATGAGAGTATGTCAATGTTTACCTATGTGTCAAATTTATTATTCAAACAAAAACTATTTTGTTTTCGGGTTAAGGTATCCGACTACGCGTTCGGAGCTATGGTTTTAAAAAAGCGCATAAATGGATAATTTTCGTGATATTTAGTGTCACTTAGATTAGAATACATGCATAAAATTGTTTTAAGGACATTTTGACAAAAAAAATTGATTTAAATACAATATTTCGGCAAAAGATTAACTTAGAATAACCTTCTTTTCAAAATGTTCTCCTTTTAAAAAAATGCTTCTAAAATAATAATATCTTGCTTATATAAAGTAAAGACTTCTGCTCAGAGTCTGAACTACTTTTTTTGAAAAATTCACATTATTTTCAGACTTACAACCAATTAAAATAATTATCGGCGTTTTTTTTAAAAAAAAATTATCCCCTCTGTTGTCGTAAAACATAGTTAAAGTTATATATTTCAAAAATTCTAGTCGAGTCTCTGTAGAGAGGTCTGAGCTACATACAGACAAAATATTATTATAATAGAAGCATTTTTCACAAAAGGAGAATATTTTGAAAATGGGTCATTTATCGTTCATTTTTTATCAAAATATTGTACCTAAATAACTTTTTATTGTAATAATATTCTTAAAACAAATTTTATATACATTTTCTTATCTAAGTGACACTAAATATCATAAATATTATCCATTTATACGCTTTTTCAAAATCACGGTTCCGAACGTAGCCGTATACCTTAAATACTTAAGTTGATTTTAAAACGTTTCCATGCATGGGACAGCATACCTAAGTGTCCACTTTATGCACTGCGTGGACCGTAAGCTTGCAGCAAGATCTTGAAGAAGGTATGGTGCCTGTGTCAAAGTCGCAAACAAAAGAAAGGATTTGCTCGAATATGTAAATTATCAGCATGTAAGCACAACCGAACGAAACAGGAGTAGGAAATGGCGTTTCAAGTTCTGTAGAAAATAAAGTTACGTGTTGAGTTTATCAATCGGAAATTACATTTGTGTGTTGGTTGGGAGAACATCATATTATGCCACGGTTAAGATGACACGACTGTCACGAAGTGTCGTAATTCGATAGCAGTGAAATCGTGTCCTAACGAGATTGATTGATTGAATGATTGAATATTAACGTCGCACTGTTCAGCAACACGAGGGCTTTTGGCGACGGACCACGTAATTTTGAACCATGGTCAAGTGACGTGGACGACACCTGAGTTGGCACACCCTCTCCAAACTACCACACCACACCAACGGGAGGACGTTTCAGCTCTCGACAGATTTAACGTGCATCGCTGCCCTACACGGCGGGTCTTTAGTGGTACTGGCTCGAACTCGTGACAAGGCAAGCCATGGTCCGACACCTATACCACTCGGCTACCGCGGCCGTGTTCTATCGAGAGTGAAGCTTATGTTCTGTGTTATTGCCACTTGCATTGTCAGATTCCAAAGACTATCATGCGAATATGGAATTACTGATTTCAGAAGAATCGTACTGAACACCAAGCTGGATCTCAACCGCTAACGCCTGTTAGGACGTACACGTTTTCAGGTTGGTCTAGATGCGCGTGTTTGCAGCACGATAAGTGTGCGTGCACAGTGCAACTAGGACGTCTAAAGTAACGCAGACTATCTGCTCGAGAACCATTATTGTAGTTCCCCTTTACTTTTCAGCATAGAGTAGCACGGTGAGAGTAATGTGCCCAATGACAAAACTGGACACAGTAGTCCCCAGTCGTCCTAACCCAAGCTTTGGCAAAGCGAGCAGTGAAACTTTTTGTGTTGAGGAGGCATAAAGATGAAAGCAGTTTCTTTAAAATGACTTTTAATAATAATCAAGGATAAAGTCAATGTGCTCGTCACTGGAGCGATCAAAACAATAAGTTGACTAATAAAATCTTAGTTCAAAAAAATCAACATTACCAGACATCCGATTCGAACCGTCTTCTTATATAGTCTAATGTTAAAAACGATTTTATTATCTTAAAATGGTGATGCAACATACAGTTGCATAGCCAACCAGCCGCTCATTTCTCAACTTTCATTGAGATCATGGAACGGGATTGTGGGTGAGTGAGTGAGTTAATATTAACGTCTCACTGTTCAGCTACACGAGGGCTTTTGGCGACGGACCACGCAATTTTGAACCATGGTCAAGTGACGTGGACAACACCTGAGCTGGAACGGGATTGGAGAAACAACACAAGGAGACCACAAAAATTCGGATCCGAAAAATAATATTTCGCATGTTTGTTTTTTTGAAGTTATACTTCTTTTGGGGAGTTAGAGAAATAGGATGAGGGTAAATTTTTACAATGCGCGCGCACCTCGTCACGGATGTGACGCAGAGCCGTCACGGATGCGAAAATTCTTTGTCAAGAAATATACAGAACGGGACAAATCATTCCCGCCTTCGAAATTCTCAGAAAAATATTTCTCTTCACTTCCCTGAAGAAGGGGACACCCGGGTTTGAACCGAAGTCATCTCGATCTGCAGTCGAATGCTCTACCACTGAGTTATACCCCCGCGTCAGCGAACCTTTGCTTTGCGTTCCGTAGGAACGGATACGAAAATGCTTTGTCTAGAAATATGCTGAATGGGACAGATCTTTCCCCGCCTTCGACCCCCCCATATTATTGGTCCTATTGTTCCGAGCAGGTGTTTAAATTTATTTAAATCGTGATTATCTCAGGTTTGGCTGGTCCGATTTACTGAAGGTTTAGTATCGTTCAACTCTGCTCATGACCGCCTTTCGTCCTTGGCCCAGCTTGCCCTGCTAAAGATTTTTAGAAAGATTTTAATCTTGTTACGCCAAAGAAGTATAATTTCTTACGTGCGTACATAAGTACACACACACTTTTTTTAAATGTCTAACCGTTCCCCTTTACTTTTCAGCATAGAGTAGCAGGCGAGAGTAACGCGCCCAATTACAAAACTGGACACAGTAGTCCCAAGTCGTCCTTTTAGACGAGTCCTCGTTCTGCGTACAGCATCATGATGGATTTATAAATATCTGAAGGCACCAATAAGAATGCGTCTTTCTTGCTTACGTAGTGATGTTCTCATACTCCTCCTGCACGTATTGTGATATTGCCGACAGCCATTAACAACACGACACATACACCTATTGTTTACATCGTTGGTAATCTAAACAACTGCCTTATGTTACATTTCACAAATCTTCGGCTCGATGGTTGTACCCTATCTTTGAGGTTTCGGAGCTCTGGTCTTTCAACAAGATAATGAAAGACCGCATGTTGCCCGTCCTGTTCTGATCAATCTCAACACGTGCAGGCACACTCGTGCACATTTGACAGTTGCTATGGCCAGCAGATTCTCCAGATCTCTCCCCTATTGAAAGCATGTGGTCATGGGTTGCTGAGAGACTCTATCGCCTGCTTCCTCCATTGGCTATGATTGATGTAGTGGGGTAAAGACTGCAAGAATTATGATATGACTTATTCGCATCTTTCAAGCTCAGTTCGACTGGATACCTGATCGGGTTAGAGTCTGTTTATCTGCCAGAGAGGTGGTATCTCTGTAATTAATTGAGGGCCTGTATACTCCCATATGCCCTACAAATTTAAATATGTTTGCTTCGCGTATATGTTGAATACACATACAGTAAATAAAGTTCTGCTATTTGCTCTCCTTCCTCGTATTACTGTTTTAATAGCCAATAATGTATGAAAGGAAATAAATCTTCCTTTTGGTATAAATTTTAAGGAAAATATAAAACTTAATGAATAAAAATTTTCAAAAAGAATTCAATGTATTATGTTTTTGATATTTCAACAATGAGTATTAAATGAACTTCAGCATATATGGCATAAATAACAGCAGACCAATAATTTATTGGAACAGATAGTTTCTGTGTGTTATCAGAATAAACACAAAAACCTTTAGAAAGTTCTTAAGTAAAAACGTAATATTAATTAACCAAAATAAGATATAACTGTACAAAAAATAAAGAGCAGGAGCTTTGATAATGCACTAAGAGTATTAAAAAATAGAAAAATTTTTTAAAAATTAAACTTGTAAAAGAAAAATCTATTATATTCAGCATGAAACTCCTTTGCTCTCATAAAAATCCTTATAAATATACAGGTGTCCCTTGTATAACACAGGGATTAATTTATTTAATTATTTTATTTATTTACTTATTAACTTGAATATGTATGCACATAATATACATCAGGGCAATATGTACCGTGTTGTATCTAAAACGTGTTATACGAAACTTTGAAATAATATAAATCAAGGCAATGTGTACCGTGCTTATCGAAATCAAGTTTTACGCGATGTAAAATTTTATGATAGCTGAAATTTCGTTTCCGTAAAAATGAAAAAGTGAGTTAATGAAATGAAATATAAAAATGACAATATGGAATACAAAAATTGAAAATACAATAAACGTTATTATAGTTATAAAATAAATGAAAACGGCTTATTAGAATCAAAAAATTAGTTTTCATCATCACTCTCATCAGAAAATATAGCTAAAAAATCTATTTTTTTTCTCAACGTTGGTTGAAACCCCTTTTTATTAGGTATTACTCCATCATCATACAAAAGTTATCCGACGTTCTAATGCACGGGCCGCTCCGTTCATTGGTGTTTGGGAATTAGATTAAGGATCAGCCATAGTCGGAACAATTCTTGTTTATTATTTATTCACTAACTTTCAACAACCCAGGGTAGGAAATGCACACTTCTATAAAGTATAGGAGCAAATACAAGGCAGAAAGGATACTTAATAATTTATAATGATTTAATAAACTTACGCTTAGAACTCTTTTAATACACTGCTGGCCACCGTAAATGCAACACCCCGAAGGAAGCATGCAAATAACATGAAATTTAAACATGCATTAACGGAGGTGAGATATGCAAATAATTAGAATTTCAGCGCAGACACCCATCACGCGTGCCTGTGACGCCACCTCAAAGCGCTATTTAAGGCTTGAAGATTTTGACGATTTCAAGTTCGGCAATTGTGTTTTTCTTGTGGTTTTTTCAAAACACTATCAATTATGTCTCGTAGAAAACAGCGATCAGCTTTTGATCAAGTACCCGAGTTCGACAGAGGAAGGATAGGGGCTTACTGAGATTGTGGATTATCTTTCAGGAAATCGGTAGTCGTGTTAGACGAAACCAAACAACTGTAATGCGGATATATGGACCGTTGGATGCAGGAGGGTACGACGGAACAACGTGGTCGATCGCATCCACCTCAGTGAACCACTTCACGTGAGGACAGGCAAATTGTGTGAACGGCAGCGACGGATTGCTCAGTCACATCACGAACCATAGCACAACACATTGAGTTTGTAACGCATCATTCAGTGTCTTCGCGTACCATTCGAAACCGTTTACAGCAGAGTGGTCTGTCCGCAAGACGTGCATTGCTTGGTCTACACTTAACGCAGAACCACAGACGCATCCGCCACCAATGGTGCGATGAAAGAAGGATGTGGTCGGCCAAATGGAATGAAATTGTCTTTACTGATGTGTCACGCATCTGTCTGCAACACCGCGATAGTTGGATTCGAGTCTGGAGACACCGTGGAGAGAGGATGCTGAACAGCTGCGTTATGCACCGCCACACTGGTCCTGCACCGGGTATTATGGTATGGGGCGCTATTGGATATCACTCTCGCACTCCTCTAGTACGCATTGAAGGTACTCTAAACAGCCAGTGCTACATCTCCGAGGTGTTGGAGCCAGTTGTCCTTCCTTACCTTCAGGGCTTGGCCACAGCCATTTTCAACAGGATAATGCGCGACCACACGTGGCACGCATTGCCCAAAGGTTCTTCGTCAATCACCAGATTGATTTACTTCCCTGACCTACTCGCTCTTTAGATCTTTCGCCGATAGAAAACATGTGGTCCATGGTTGCTAAGCCATTGACCCGGATTACACCCCCAGCTGCTACACCAGATCAACTTTGGCAACGTGTGGAAGCTGCTTGGTCTGCTGTACCCAATAACACATCCAAAGTCTCTTTGAATCTATGCCGAGGCGTGTGGCAGCGGTAATCTCCAACAATGGCGGCTACTCTGGCTACTGATTCTGGCAGGAACCCCACTTCACAGAAGTCTATAAATTTAATCATTCGATACTTGGTCAACATGTTATCTACAAAATAAATTTTGTTGTGCTATCTCTTGTCTTTCTTGGTGTTGCTTTTACGTTGGCCTGCAATTTATTTACGTAATTCGTAGCTTTTCGACCTCTGGTCGATATTATTCAAATGTAACTTATTCACTAAAACGCCAATTAACAATCTTAAATATCAAACAATGAATCGTTGATGCCACCCTCGACTAGCTTTCCACTACAATGCTAATCACTAACTTCTATCATATAACTCCTAACCTCTTCTCGTCTTACCTAAATGTTAATGCTTAAATATAAGCCCTCATTTACATAAAACGTGTCTTCTTCGGGAGAAAGTTTTCAATAGAACAACATTTAAAAGAAGTAAATTTGCCCAAGAGGATTAGTGAGTAGTTCGCGGATAGACCCGCTACAATGTAATTGCAATTACCTGTCTTTTTCGATCTTGGAATTCGCTTAGAATTTATCTATAAAGATCTAAAGAACTTTGCAATTCTCTTTTAAATTCCATTTTAAAAGGGATAGGAATTCCCCTTATTGAACTAAAATGATTAATAATTTTTTGAAATCGTGTTGTATGAAAGCCGTGTAATATTAAATTCTTGTGACGTGTTTTTTCGAATCTATGTTATAATCGCAAATTTTGTACCATGTGATATCGAGTTGAGTTGAGTTTGGTGTTTTATGGCACAAGAGCCAGTTTTGGCTATACTGCTCCAATCATTCATAGGTCTGTGGTCTGGACGGGAAAAGAAGAAAATGGATGACAAGATGGAGGGTCGAAAATTGAGAAGGATCACTGGGGTACCACTGGGTGGTGACACCCATATTTACCAAAGATAGTAAATCCCTTGGGAAAAAGGAAAAGATCACTAGGGTACCTTGGGATTGTGAGCCCCCTAAGGGGCATGTGATATCGAAACCCTGTTTTAAGAGTACCGTGTTATACGAGGGACATTTGTATTGGTCAAGTTTCGATATCACTCATTAAAAAATAGGATGCAGATATTAGTATTTCATGGTCGGGGCTGTCGATCCATAGGTTCGAGCCCTATGCCACTGAAGACCTGACGTGAAGACGGGCTAATGCCTACAATCCTTTTAATAAGGTTGGTGTGGAGTTTAAAGAGGTAGTTCCAGCTCAGGTATCGTCATTGTCATTTGAATGTGATTTAAAATTACGAGATCTGTCGCCAATAGTCCTCCTGTTATTTCAAAGTGCACCGTTAATTAAAATCAAATCAAATCAAACCATGCAGAAATTAGTTTGAGAAAGAGCTTATGTTAGAGGACAATTTCCACATAGATTTTGTGTTCCCCAAGGTTTCTTTGACATTAACAGCGTAAGACATTCTAAAATTTAAACAGAAGAATATTTTAAAAATAAAAGCGTCAATCTGTCAC